AAGTCCAGCTCATAAATGAGCTAAAATTTCAGCTCAAATAGTAGACTCAAGAGAAGCCAAAATTCATTTTATTTTGGACCTGAGTTGACCCCCCCTTTGTCTACATCAGACTCCCCTTCTTGCGAATTCAGCTCCTGATGAATTGGTTGATGATTCCCTTGAGGCGGTGCATACTGTTCATCCAGTTCTTTGAGTTTCTCGCCAAATCTTTTCAGAATTTCTTCTTGCTCCTTCTCGAATTGCTGTTGTAGATATCTTTTATACTTCTCGAATTTTTGATCACATAGGAACATGTGATACTGAAGCTTGTACAAACGATCTTGAAGTGGGTCAGTAGAATCTCCTTATGTAGGTATCCATCTGTCCAATGGTTGCGGGACATCAGGATTATGTTGATCGCTTTCTTCCTGGAATGTAGCCATATTTTTAATATTTTTCATTTTTTTGACAGACTCAAAAGACTCACCTAAAAAACTTAAGACAAGACTCACAACTTGACTTGACAAAATTTACAATAAAACTCTTTGACGAACTAACTTAACAAACCACAATCCTAAGATTTTCTAACTTGCTCTGATACCAAATGATGCAATCAAAAAATATAGGGGTGCCTATATTTTTTTATCACAAAAAGAAAAACACAAGACGACACAACCAAGACTAGAAGAGGAAAGAACAAAAGGACAAACAAACTCTTACATTTCAAATTAAAGAAATAAAAAGAAATTAAAAATTACAAACTTTGACTCGATCTCAAAGACACCCTAAAATTGCTGCACTTGGAAGAAAGATACAGGTGGAGTGGCACTTGCGGAGAGACAAACGAGGTTAGAAGCTCGAGAAGAAAGGTTGGAAAGAGCCCGCAGGATTTCCGGAGGGAATGAGAAAGAAGGTTGGAAAGAGCACGCAGGCTTTCCAAAGCAAACCCGCAGGTTATAATTTCCAAAAATAACTTATCATTCACTACTTTTAAAACATTACAAACCATCTCATATATATAGGTATAAGAAGAGAATATGAAAAGACACAAACATTAATTCTAACACAAGAACCTAAACATCACAACATTAAAACACCTAAAAATAAATCTCAAGCCAAGAAACTGAAGAGGTAGCCGCGGGAGCCAAGGAGGCCGAGCAGAAACCAAGGGGGCATGGTCACGAGAGGGAGCACAGGCACGAAAAACCATTAGCCGGTCGGAATCCAAGGGGGCAAATGCAATGAAACCATGGAGGAAACCAAGGAGTCATGCATGGGAATACTAAACACTGATGCATTTAGATTTTGCTTAATTTTTTTTGTTATGAACAATATTAGTTTTATTTTCTTTTTTTTTTGTTTTTATGCTATCCAATGATGGTGGTAAATCCAATGATCATGGTAGGAAGAGGTTTGGATTTTGTTTCCTTGGATTTGCCGGCTTGGGGGGGTCCATTTGTCCTTTGAAGGTGGCTGGTTTCATGAGATCTATGGCTGTTTCGGTTTGAGCTTATGAAGTTAAACTTTAGTTGTGCCAAGCTCAGGGACATCAGGATTATGTTGATCGCTTTCTTCCTGGAATGTAGCCATATTTTTGATATTTTTCATTTTTTTGACGGACTAAAAAAAGACTCAAAAGACTCACCTAAAAAACTTAAGACAAGACTCACAACTTGACTTGACAAAACTTACAATAAAACTCTTTGACGAACTAACTTGACAAACCACAATCCTAAGATTTTCTAACTTGCTCTGATAACAAATGATGCAATCAAAAAATATAGGGGTGCCTATATTTTTTTATCACAAAAAGAAAAACACAAGACGACACAATGAAGACTAGAAGAGGAAAGAACAAAAGGACGAACAAACTCTTACATTTCAAATTAAAGAAATTAAAAGAAATTAAAAATTACAAACTTTGACTCGATCTCAAAGACACCCTAAAGTAGCTGCACTATGAAGAAAGATACAGGTGGAGTGGCACTTGAGGAGAGCCGAACGAGGTTAGAAGCCCGAGAAGAAAGGTTGGAAAGAGCCCGCAGGATTTCCGGAGGGGATGAGAAAGAAGGTTGGAAAGAGCCCGCAGGATTTCCAAAGCAAACCCGTAGGTTATAACTTCCAAAAATAACTTATCATTCACTACTTTTAAAACATTACAAACCATCTCATATATATAGGTATGAGAAGAGAATATGAAAAGACACAAACATTAATTCTAACACAAGAACCTAAACATCACAACATTAAAACACCTAAAAATAAATCCCAAGCCAAGAAACTGAAGAGGTAGCCGCGGGAGCCAAGGAGGCCGAGCGGAAACCAAAGGGGCACGGTCACGGGAGGGAGCACAGGCACGGGAAACCATTAGCCGGCCGGAATCCAATGGGGCAAATGCAATGAAACCATGGAGGAAACCAAGGAGTCATGCATGGGAATACTAAACACCTTTCTTGGGATTCCAAAAGCCCTTTTTGGAACCCCAAGGTTTTTGGAACCCCAAGAGACATCATAAAAGAAGAGTTTAAAACTATAAATAACATTTAATAAAAAGTAAGATAATAAATGAACTAAAATGTTAGCTAATAATGAGCTAACCCTTAGTTCAATAAATGAACTAAAATCCAGCTCATAAATGAGCTAAAATTTCAGCTCAAATAGTAAACTCAAGAGAAGCCAACATTCATTTTATTTTGGACCTGAGTTGGCCCCCCCTTTGTCTACATCAATTGGCTAATTGAATTAATAAATTTTAATTTAATTGATTAACGAAATTAAATTTTAATTTGATTATATTGTTTAAATTTAATTAGTTAAATGAGATTTTTAAATTAGTTGAGTGGGGTTTGAATTCTAATTTTATTTTAAAGTGATTAATTAAATTAGATTAATTTTAAAAATTGGTTATTTTGAATTTTATGTTAAATTGATTAAATAAGATTTTATTGGATTAAATGTTATTTATTTTAAATTAAATTAGATTTTTAAATTACATTTAATTTAAATGAATTGTTCAATTTTATTAAATTTTAAATTAGATTAATTTTTAAAATTTAATTCAATTTTAAATTTAATTAAATTTTTAAAAATGATTTTCATTTAGTTATATTAATTAATTGTTTTTAAAGTTCATGTTAACAAATTAATTACCGCTCTTTAAATGCTCCAAGAGAAAAAGTTATGCAGTCTTATGGGAGATTTCAGCAGGCTCCCAGCATCCCCTCTCCATGCGATGAGGTCAGAACAGCACTTACCGTTATGTCTTCCCGACCGGACCTAAGGTCGATGGGGTGAGGTCTTGAATAAAACTATCCCAGCTGGACCTAATGTCGACGACATGAGGTCTTAAGTTTAAAACCATCCTAGCAATTTTTAAAATCAACGGTACGAGGTCTTGAAGTTGGAATACCTATTTGCTTTAACAATAATTTTATTTTAACTATTATTTTTTTGAACTACTGATTGCAGTCATTAATGCAGGCCAATTACTATAATTATAGACAGTTTATTTCCCTGTCTTTGAACTAGAGAGATAAACCCAGTTATTATATCATTTCCCAAACCATTACTCACAGCAAGCATTTCAGTTGGAATAGAGGATTTCGAGCGTGAGAGATCTTGAACCTGGTCTTTGAGAGATCTTGAACCTGGTCTTTGAGAGATCTGAGATAACAGGCTTGAGTATGCTCACGTGATAAGGGAGATGGAGAATTGCAGCCGGCTTGTGTAGGCAGAAGTAAGTGTGCAAATGAGTTGTGGAGGTGATGTATTCGCGCGCGGGGTTTCGACTTAGGGCGGGACGGATCATACACATGTGGCACTCGGGCTTTAGTCGGAAGGAGGCGGAGGCTGTCCATGCGGTTTGAGTTTAGCTCATGTAAGGGTGTGAATTGCGAACAAGAAGGCGAACAAAGTGGGGCTCACGGGTGATTGTGCGCATGCAGGAGAAATGCAGGAAAGCAAGTAGGAGGGCTTGTTTGGACGAAGCAAGGCTTCGGCTTGTTCGTTGTATGCTAGGTGTGGTCGGATGGAGGCAATTTGAACAAAAGCATTGCAAGCGGGCCGGTCGGATTACGCTTGGAATCAGGATGGGCTAGTCATAGCATATGAAGGCTCGACTGTGTGTTCGATTGACGGAGGCGCACGACAGGCTCAAGTAAATCCAGTTAATTGTGGTTGATTTGGTCGAATGATTGGGTATTCGCCAACTGAAGGAGCGAGTGGATGTGGGCTTCACGTAGGAGTAGATAGAGAGCGAAAGTGTAAGTGTGCTCTTCATCTTTTTCTTTTTTTATTGATTAACTACAAGGCGGTTATTAAAGTGAAAAGTTGCGTTGTTTAGCAAAGAGGGGCCGAATCAACAGCATGTTGATTGTTTCATGAGAAGAGATGCATCTCTTCAATTCAAACTTTTTTGTTCTATTATTTTATTTTCTCTTTTCTTTCTTTCTCTTTTTTTAGTTTTAAATTAGTCAACATATACAAAAGTTTTTGATATAAGAAAAAATCATTGATATCCAAATTGGGCTAGGAGAAATTAGAAATGATAAAATAGATGAGTAACAAAACTATGAAGAATAGATTGACGAATAATTATATTAGAAGAATAATAGGAGTCACATATATTGAAAATTGGGTGGTAAAAATTGAACTTGGTGGTTCAGACCATGAATAAAAAATAGTACAACACGCACCCTTAAGATGGGTAATGTGGTTGGGGACAAAAAGGAAAAAAATTAAGCTAAAAAAACACATGAATGGAAATGTTGTGCAAAAATATCAACACAAAATAAGTTCTCCTGTAGCACTCAACCAGAGTACATGGAGAATGAGGTTTTGGAAAGCGGAATCCCAAATAGTTGGGACACGTTAAATGATGATGATTTGAATGAAGTACTCATTAGCCCCACAGCTTTTTAGGGTAACAGACAAAATAATTTCTATCCTATTTTGAAGTATAAAACAAGAAAATTATGATCAGAAAATATTCTTTAAAAAGGGACCAGAGCATAGTAACATACCATGGCTTAATGCGCATGACATCAGTTCCATGTTGCTTAGATGGCAAATGGTTCAAATGCTCAATCACAGTATTCACATGGGACCAATTCTAAACAGTACCAAAAAGCATGCGTGAGTACATTTAAATAAGTGAACAAAACAATATTTATGTTTCCCTCAAGTTTCTACCAAACCTGCATGGTGATAACGTCAGCATGATCAATGATCAACACCTACATTATTAGAACAAGAAATTTAGCAAAATCATAAAAACCAAAAGAATAATTATTAGCACTAATTAAATTAATGCGTAGAGTCAATGTTGGCTCACTTACCTCTATTGAGGACAGATAGTCAATATCCTTCTCCTTTTCAAACTCTGTCTCTCCAATTTTCTAAATAAAGAAATGAATATCGATCTCAAAAGTTGGAGCAGTTAAAGAAATTATACATAGTTGCCAAAAAAGAGAAAACAAAAAAGTGGGGGAATGCAGACGTCATTTTTTGTCCAAACACAATTTACTACATCTTCTGCTTAATAGGAAAAGGTTCACTTCATACCGTTGTAAAAAACATCAAATGATTCCAAGTAAAGATAAAACAAAGAGTTTGACTTTGACTCAAAAATATATATTTGGTAAGCTAGCTCATTGTAAAACCCGAAAAATGTCGATCGTAAGCGTCGCATGCATTTCGATCAAATTTATAAAATTCTACGCAAAATTTCCATCAAATTGATATAAAAAATTTATACTAAATTTTGCACGATTTTGAAATTTAAAATCGACAAAGGTTATTTAAATAAAAATTAAATCCATATGACTAGCTTTTAAAAGAATTAGAAAGCAAGTGGCACATGCGTCATTTTGGACACCCCTCCTCCCCCACCGCCCTCATAAGCCAACGGACCGAATATTTTCGGTTCCTCTTGCTTTGTTCGGACGAAAAGGAGAGAAAGAGAGAGAAAGGGCGGCGGCTAGGTGGCAGCCGGCGGGTAATCCGGCGATATCTTTGGTGGAGATTGAAGGAAAAAGTTTAAGGAAGAATAAAGTAAGTTCCAAACATTAAAATCCTTTCATTTTCCCTTAAGATTTCTTATGGTAAAAATCTAGGGTTTTCTCAAAACTCAAAATTTTAAAAGAGGAATGGTAAGGAAAGATTAGGGGAGGTTTCTAACCATGAAAATGAAATTTTCACCAAAGATTTTCAATTTTAGGGTTTTTTCAAATGTTGAAGAATGAAGATTTAGGAAAATTTTTTAACAAAGATTATTCCTATGTGTCTTAAGGAGGTTCTATTGGTGTGAATTTGAGATTTTTCATAAAATACTATTTTCCCTATTTTTTTTAAATTAGACAATACAAAAATTAAATAACCTAAATTCATAATTAGATAAGAGGAAAGTTTTAACATGCAATTTTATTGAAATTAGTGAAAATTTTGTTTCCAAAATTTGGATTTTTAGGTAAATCGATGGTTTAAAATTGTGCAATAAAAGGCGTGGCTCAGCGCAATTTTAAACTTTTAAGCCTCAAAGCCTACGCAATGAGAGCTGGCATTGAGGCGTACGCCTCAAGTTCACTGAGCTGTGCCTCGCCTCATGTTTTAGAGGCGTCCTCCTCTTAAAAATTTAAAAAAAAAAAATCCTAACCTTATATATATATATATATATATATATATATTCGATTCGGCCCCCCACCCCGTCTTCGATCATTTTCGAACCGAAACTAGGTTTCTTCTCCCTTTTTCTTCGAATGACATTTTCCCCTCTTCCTGAGTTCCTTCCATTCGACCAGCGTCAGCTTCCTTCCACCGTGAGTTGCTCTTCGCCTATTGCTTGGAGTTCTCATCTACCGCGAGTTGGGCTAGAGTCTCCTTCGACCGATCGCTGAAATCTCTTCTTCTTCGTGTTTCCATCTATCACCTTATTGTGAAATACAAGATCGGTTCATTCTGCCATAAGGACCTCCATATTCTACTGAGTAAGATTCCACAATCGGTCTGTCTGCTCGGTATCGTTTGGTATCGCTCGGTATCGCTAGGTACATGCTCTGTACAGCTCGGTACCACTCAGTACAACAATGCTTGGTACCACTAGGTATATGCTCGGTACCGCTAGGTAGATGGCCAGTATCGCTCGATACATGTTCGCTACTACTAGGTACATGCTCGATATCGCTCGGTATCTTTCCATGCAAATGACTTACGAACTTTAAAAATAAATAGAACTTCAAGTCGAACCCCGCCAGGGGGCAGCTCCCCCTTGGACCCCCGGCTTCCTGGCATATTGTTGTATTCATCATCTTTAATAATAGTTGTTAGTATTAGTCTGCTTCTTCATGAGTGCATGATTTGTATAAGTTTTCTTAATGTAAAATAAGTAAAGCATTATGTTTAGGGGTTTGATATGTTGCACTAAGCCACTAATATATTCTTCTCATAAAGGATGATCAGAAGTAAGGATAAAGCTGCATTAGGTCATAGAAAAGATCCAGCATGGCAACATAGCACTCAGGTGGATGTATGAGGAAGTGATAAAACATATATCTATCTAAAATGCAATTACTGTGACAAAGTTGTGCAAAGTGGTGTGACTAGGATGAAGGATCACCTTTTAGGGTCTCACAAGAATGTTGCTCCATGCTCCAAAGTTCCTAATACTGTAAGGGAGGAGATAAAGTCATACATGAATAAATCTACCACGTCAAAACATCTTGCACAGAAGCAATTTGAGGATAGAGTTGATGTTGGTTCTTATAACGGGAGTGAGCGTAGAGTTAGGGATTCATCTTCTTCGATGAAGCCCATTTCATATAGGGGTGCTAAAGGGTCTATGGATCATTATATAGTGGACCCATCAGAGGACAGGCCTCCTACTACACAGAACATGGCCGCAAAAAATGCAAGGGAGGCACGAAGAAGAGTGTGTAAGAATATAGACAGATTTTTCTACGAAAATGTAATTTCATTTAATGTTGCAATGTCACCTGCCTATTACAATATAATCCGTTCAGTTGGAGCATTTGGGAGAGAATTCAAACCTTAAACCATGTATTATTTGAGAACATGAATTAGGAAGGAGTTGGAAAGCTTTGATAAAAGCATTGAAGATATTAAGAGGACTTGGGCTCAAACATGAGTAATAATTATGTCAGATGGGTGGTCTGAAATCAAACATAGAAATCTGATCAACATCCTCATTAATAATCCATATAATATTATATTTTTAAAGTCAGTTAAAGCATCTGACCAGGTCAAAGATGCTGAAATCATATTTGGATTATTAAATAACATTGTTGAGGATGTTGGAGAACATTTTGTCATACAAATTGTGATAGACAATACAAGTGCTTACAAGACTGTACGAAAAAAACTTATGGAAAAGAGGAAAAATCTGTAATGGACTCCATGTACAGCACATTGCATAGATCTGATTCTTAAGAAGCTTGGGGAGCTACCTCAACATAAGAATGCACTTACTAAAACAAAAAAGATAACTAAGTTTATTTACAACCACTCTTGCGTTTTAGCTGTTATGAGAAAATTTTCAACGAAAGAAATTGTAAGGCCAACAACAACAAGATTTGACACCGCTTACTTGGCCTTAGAGAGCATGTTGGATGCTACACAACCTTTAGAAGCTATGCTCACATCTACACAGTGGTTGTGTTGTGCTTGGGCGAAGAAGGCTGAGGAAAAAGAGATTAGAAAAATTATTTTAAATGACAGATTTGACAAAGTATCTTATATGTCATTACAACCACTAGGCTTTTAGTTCAAGTTTTAAGGATGACGGATGCTAAGAAGAAGCTTGCAATGACTTTCATCTACAATGTCATGGATGAAGCCAAAGAGATGATTGCCTCCAACTTAGGAGGCGAAGATAAAAGCTTTAGGAAAATTTGGAACATTATTGAAGATAGGTGGGAGTTACAGCTTCACCGGCACTTGCGTACAGCTGGCTATTACCTAAATCCTCAGTATCAATATGCATAGAACAAATCTACAAACCCTGAAATAAAGTTTGAATTGTATTATTGTATGGATCGGCTAATAAGTGATGCAACTGAAAGATCAAATGCTAACATGCAATTGGTGGTATCTTTTAGGAACAAAGTTGGGATTACAACAAGCAAATGATACAATTGTCAAATGATCTCCAGGTAATTTTATTTAATGTTTTAAACAGTTATTTAAAAAAAAAATTGCACTAATTAAACTCTCTTATATAAATATTAGTTGAGTGGTAGATTCAATTTAGTGATGGGACTCCAAAATTATAGCGTTTTGCTATAAAAATTTTGGGCTTGACATGTTTTTCATCTGGCTGTGAAAGAAATTTGAGTACCTACAACCAAGTACATACAAAGAGGATAAATCACTTGTCAACATTGAGGATTATTTCACTGGTGTACATTATGTATAATAGGAGACTCAAAGATAGGAATTTAAAGAAAAAATAATTAATGGATGATGAAGATCCTTTGCTTTGCGAGGATGTGGCATCTGATGATGAGTGGTTTGTAAATAATAAAGTTGAAGTGATGTCGTCTGAATTACAAGATGAAGATTTGAATGTTGATTTTTTTTTATGGTCTTAAAGCATTTAGATCCACCACAACTCAAGAAAAAATCAAAAAAGATATATAAATACTATAATTTTCTTACACTTTTATTAATGTATTACACGATTATTCATTTTGATATTGTTCAACAATATTTAGGGAAGAGGAAGATAACTGATACTGAAGAAGGAGCTGATTGGGAGACATTAACTCTATAGGAGAGGAGGAAGGGGAGAGCAGTTCATCATAATGATGATTCAAATGAAGACCCCCTTAGTGATGACAGTGCCGATGACTTATAAGTTCTTATGTGATATGTAATTCCTATTTATTTTTTGAATTATTTGTTAATGAAAAGAATATTGTGATTTGGGAAAGATGGAATTTGAGTTGACCTATATTTCATGTTGTCTTATTATTGGGATATTTTGATTTAACTTCATATCTTGTGCATTTTTATGTTTTATATATTATTTACTCATTAGTATATACAAAATTTATCATTTTATGTTTACGCAATCTTTTGAATTTGAGGTTTACGCCTCAGCTCACGAATGAAAAACGTCTCAATACCCGATTACGCAATTTTAAACATTGGGTAAATCCGAAACATTATTATGCTAAAATAAATGGAGGAAGGGAAAGGTTTTAGCTTAATTTAATGAGGGAAATATAAAACAATTAGGTTTCCGATTTTTAGGTTTTTTTGGGTAAAACAAATTCATAATTACTTAAGTTAAGAAATTTCTATGAATTAGAAAAGGAAAAATGTTAGAAAATATTAAAAAAATTTGAATATTAATTGGAAATGTATTATGTCATAAGTTTGATTAATCGGGAAATGTATTATGTTAAGAGTTTAGGAGTTAGATTAATTAGAAGTGTATAATTTTAATTTAACCTTTTATAAGAAAATTAAGGTTTGATTAATTAAAAATGCATTGTATTATGAGTTAGTAATCAAGGTGTTTATTATTCTAGGTGTTAGTTATAAGAGAGGTGTTGGTCCAAGAAGATTCGCCACAAGTATAAACGGTTGCTTATCGAGGTAAGTGATAATTAACTCTCCAAGTTCATTTTCTTTATGCTCTTTTAAAATGTTAAATGTATTTATAAAATATTTATATGTTGGATAGAGTTTTACACATGTTTATGTTGGATTGATAAGACATTCATATGATCAACTTATATAGGAAAAGTATAAAGCTCTTCATAAAGTCTTACATATGTTTACATGTAATCTTACATATGATGGTGAAGTAAAATGCATATGTTGGATTGAAACATATGAATGTTTGATATGTCAATCACATATAATATGATATTGAAATTGTATGCGGATTTGTGCATGTTGAGGAGTACCAATATGGTGCATTAGCACAATATGACTCTTTAGAAATCTATATTATCTAAGAGCATTTGTTACATAAAAAGTCATATATATATATATATATATATATATATATATATATATAAGTACATGTCTAATTAAGCATGATATTGTATTAATTAGTTCTTCAATTTCAAGTCTATAGTCCACATCAAGCATACATATTGATCTCTTTTCATTATATTTGAATTTGGTAGTATTAATTGTTACATGCTAAGCGTTAGCTCATTCTCTAATTTTGGGATACTTTTAAGGAGAAATCGCTATTAATTGATGGCTGAGAAATAGTGGTTCACATACAGTCGTACGAAAATACTGGGTGACAGGTTCTTTTGTATTTTATTTTGATGTTAAACATTTTTTTGTGATGGATTTTACATGTGAACTTTACAATCCACCTTTGTAAATCTCTTTTGATATATATGAAAAGTTTTGAAAATTCACAAGTTTTAGTGGCGCTTGATCAAATGTTGAATGTTACAAATTTAAATGTTTCATGTTATATGATGTTATTGAAGTTATGTTTTACATTTTTCTGTCCAACATCCGTTTCTAGCTCGTTTCCACGAGCTTATCGGGCCGGGCCGTGACACTCATAATTGGTAATGGAAGGTGTTGTATAAAAGAAATAAACAACATTGCATTAAATTAAAAAAAAAAACACAAAACTATAAAAATAATAGCAGTAGCTTCAAGATAAGAACACAAGGATTGCTCCAAAATAGTGAAACTAAATATTCTTAAGCAAGGGGAACCTTAAAACCGAGAATTATAATAAGGGCCTATTATCAGGCCATCATCAACTTCATTAGCCTTATCGCAACTACTTAGTAAATTTAAGCAACTATTTTAGTGTGCATAACTGATGAATAGCACCAAAGTAGCATTTTTCTATTATATAATTAAATAGCTAAATAAATAAAATTAAATATTATTAATTAAAAATAAATTTTATTTATATCATAAAATTTAATTAAAATTTATGTTTACAAATATGTAATTTGTGTTGTTAACATGAGAATTTCACTCTAGTTTTTTACATCATCTAGAAAATTTAGATTAGTATTATTTGTACTTTATATAGCTTTTTTTTTAATGAATGAACAAGTCACATGGATGGTAATGTTATGTAAGTAAGCTTTGTTGGAGTTTATTTAAAATTCATTATTATAACAAATTTGAAGTCCAAATTTAAATTTAATTTAATTTTTAAATTTAAAAAAAAAATTATTTGTATAAAATAGATAAATATTTAACTGGCCAATTTTTAAAAATCGAAAAAGGTTCACCTGTTTGGCGGTTGGACCGCCGGATCGAACCAATTTTAGCTAATTCATTGCAGAGCCGGTTTTAGGGAAAAACCAGACCAGTTAGCCAACCAGTTTCTGGTTGAATCAGCTGATCCGGTCCGATTTTCAAAACAATGGTAAAACCTACTAGTTTACTCAAATAAATTCATATTTTTTTAATAAAATGATTAGGAAATCAGTCAAACTGTACAAGAAATTTTTATATTGAAATTTATTTTATTTTGAAAAAGAATATAACTAATGATCATAAAGGAATGAAAGCTTCGATATCATCATCTATTGTTCATTTTTCTCCCATTTCAAACTGTCTTAAAAGAAGCATCTTGATAATTGTTATAAGTCCTTCAGTTTCCGTTACATCTGAAAACTCTATGCTTCATACGCTAATGTACCAAGTTAATAATAGTTCAATTTCATGAATTAATTTAAAAACTTAAACCAAGAGAAATTTTGAGTCAAGTTATTTTATCTTATCCTTCTAAATATAATCATAAATTCAACCTAAGATCATAGCATACAATACTTTCAGCTTCTTAAAGGACTGCAAATCAACAGCATATGTGTTAATCCAGGATAAAACTTTTAAGTCCATTAAAAGAAAACATAGTGAGGCATCCTGAAAAATTTTTTTTTTTTTTTTTGTCCTACAAGTTCTTGACCAAATTGATGCGGTCAATGCAAATACCTTAAGTGACCTTACAAAACCAACATAAAAATTTTCTGATCAGTTCATTAATGAAACATCCAAAATGCTCCAAATTAAGCTCAAAATAATAAGCAACTTTCATACTTTTGGGTCCCAGATTTAATGGTGTGATGATTACTCCAGTCAACAACTTTAAAGTTAATTGCAATCAAGAAGAGCATAAAGTAGACTTACAGTGACTAAACCAAGAGGAGATGCTACAATGATGTCTGAAGAATAAAAATTACTGTACAATTTTATGCTTCTCCTGCATGACCAAACATATGAACTTACATTAATTTATTGATAAAATCAAATAAAAGAACCTATAAAGTCGCAAAATCTTGTTTTGCATGCACTACAACTTAACTTGCACAACTTACAAAGGAAAACTAATAAATCAAATCTACAATTATGTTTTCCTACCAACGCTAGATTTCACAAAATCTCTTAGCTGGAACCTTTCAGTTTAATCATTGATTGCATTAAAAAAACACAGTCAATCCTTCAATGCAGGAGAAACCAAAATAAAAACAACAAGAGACACCAAAGAATAATCTAAGCAGGAAAGACATTGAAGATACAAAAGATTCTCCTTATGAGGAAACCAACTGCCATTATTCTAATTTATCCCGAGAACTTATTTAAAATATATTTTTTAAAACATGATATTATAACTAAAAAATAAAGATGGAAGAATACGAATTAAAAAAAACCTTGAAACAGGAAAACTACAAAAATACTCATTCAATATGCCTTCAAGCCTGGTGAATACGAGTGAGAATAGATATTTTTTTCTTATTCCTTCCCTGTAACAAACAAGATTTGAAACATGTCATCCACAAAAGCATCAACACTCTTAATGCTCTAAATATTTTCATCTGAATTATAAGGCTACTGTGAATCATGATCATACATATCTTCACAAATTCGAGGGAGAGAAATAACGTCCATTTCAACATAAACTCTGACCATATAAGGCTTAGAATGCCAAGTAGAAGTGGCATCCACTTGCAACGCTTTACCAAATATGGAAGCATGGAATATAAGATGGATTAGTTGAAATAATATATACAAAGCCAACGAAATGCAAGCCAAACAAGATCTACAAGTGGTTTCTTGAAACAGTTAAAATGGGGAGAATATTTTAGCATTAGCATCAGATAAACACTAATATAATAGTGTTACCAATATAAGAGTTTGGTGTAACCTATATCTAAAGGAAGTCTTATAATGACATGAGAGGTCAATAAGTCTAAAATAATAGTCATTAAACAAGTTTAAATCTAATATGAATTTGTGAATAACTTGAAGGTTGAGGTGGCCCGAAGAGAATTTGCCAACAATAAAAAATGTATGTGTGCTAGCAAGCTCAAAAATCTCACTTCAAGAGAAAATAAACAAGGGTCGCTTTAATGTAGATTTTTGCTTATGCTGAGGTGAACCAGAATATTCTTGGAAAGAAATAAAGGAAAATTGTTAGATGAAGTGCAATGCAATCATAAATCCAGCAATCCTACCATGCCCCACAATGGTGAGGCATAATGAAGACATATATGACTTAATTATGATATATAACAATTTCTATTCCAAAGGAATTTATCTTTTAATACATATAAGTTGTTCGAAAGCATTTTTTAAATTATTTATTTATTTGACTATAAAGTTTCTAATAAACATCATAATTTATCTAATTTTTTCATAATCCATTTTTACTCATTTCATTTACTACTTAATATAGGTCTTATTTCAACTTTAAAGTATGTCATATACTTATGTCATAGTTCATTAAACATCATAAACTCAAAAGTTATAAATTTAGGACTTTTTTGCCTCCATAAGTGCCCACTTTTGTTGCCCTACCAAAACAAGTTATCAAATACATATTATTAAAAACCCATAAATAGACATGACCTTTCTTAAGCCATTCATTTTCATTATTGAACATTTAAATGTATAAATCATTCATTTTTATTTTTTGAACATTAAAAACATACACCTTTCATTTTAGCAAGCTAATAGACTTTATACTTTAATTTTACAAATATTTAATATATAGCTTATAGGTATATCTAATTTATCAAAATACCCAATTGATTAAATAAATTTGCTTTCTGAAATAAAGTTGAGCATCTTACTCAAATGACGATCAACTACAAGATAAACTATCTCTTTACAATCACCTCGACACTTTATTCTTTTTTAAATAATCTACAAAATTCATATTTCTGAATTTGTAGTATTTTCCAACTTTCAATTTAAATCTAAATCAAACTAACTTTAAATTAAAGCGTTACAACAAAAAAATTCCGCTTCATATAAGTTGCAAAACACTACCTTGAATCAAAGTCAATTTGTCCAGATTTATATAAGTAAAAAAACAAGCTTTTCCTAACGTCTCCTCTTCTTCTCCTTCTTTGTCCTCCTTACAAGTTAAAGCCTACTCGAGCTTCATAGGTCGCTTCCTGTTGCTAGCTAAGGGAATGAGAAAATGGGAATACTTAGGTTAGATTAGCGTGTCTGTGTATAAAGTTAATATACAAGTGCAATGTCTTAACTCATTCCAGCCATCCAATTTCATATCGATTGTTGCATGTAAAGTTTAGGGGAAATTGTATGAAAGCTACCGGACCATAGCCCATTGTATAGTAACATTAAAATAAAATTTAAAGTAAATGATTTAATTAATAAACTAATTTACAATAAACAATATACTATATTTATATCTTTATATATATAATGATCATAATTAAATTTTGGATTTTATGAAAATATATTTAGTCATTTTTTATTACAAACGAAAAAAAGGGATATTAAAATTTGGATAAATTCAGATTTTTACATTTTTGCAATTTTGAGTATTACAATTCTTCCTTTCTTATTGGAATTTCAATCCCAAAATTCGCTTTCTTCATAAATCATAATATATCAAAGTGAGAGAATTTAATTTCATATCTTCCTTTTCCTTCTTCTTCTTCTTTTTTTTTTTTCATCTATGCTTCCAATATACTTTCTCATAAGGGATTTTTTTCATTCCCCAATTCTTTAACATTAGATTCATACATCTTTTATGGTTCTTCAATATAAATTACGTTGCTCTGTACATCAATTTTATATTGTGAAACTCAATTTCATTTATGTCCATTTTTTTAACATTGATATATGAGAACTATTATGTATATCGGACATATTTGCCAACAATGATATTCTATTGGCAAACTTTTCAAATTTTCAATTATTTTAAAAGCATCGATCTATCTCAAATTCAGCTTCCCTCCTTGGTCAAATCTAGATATTTCTTTCATAGACTGAACTTTTAAGAACACATTCACCAACTTCAAATTCAACAACTCTATGCTTTTGGTCATAATATTTCTACTGACAATCCTGGGCCGCCTTAACCTATTTTTGATTAACCTAATTTCCTCAATAGCTTGATCCATTAACTATAGATCCATCAATCGTTTCTTTACAACTTCCTTAACTAAATGGAGTTCTAAATTGTTTTCCATATAGTGCCTCATAAGGCATCCTTTTAATATTGGATTGATAGTTATTGCTATAAACAAATTCTATTCATGGAATATAATTCTCCCCACTACCTCCAAAATCCATAACACATAACCTTAGTAAATCCTCTAACTCCTAAATGCTATTTTTGATTGGCCATCTATCTGTGGATGGGATGTAGCACTATAATGTGCCCAAACTTCCATGAACACCTTTCCACGAGTTAGATGTGAATCTATGGTCTCAGTCAGATTTAAAAAGCTTAGGAATTCCATATAGTCTAATATCATTGTTAATTTGTCAACTGAATCAATTTGACAATAGGCAAAACGTCTGATAACTTAATCTATAAAAAAGTTAGGAAAACTTGTGACAAAAGTCATAGCTATAACTTCCCATTTTTACTCTAGAATTGGTAATAACTACAATACTCCAAAGGACTTCTAATATTCAGCTTTCCCCACTTAACATGATTCACATTTTCCCATATATATAATCATATTTTGATCATTCCAGACCACTAAAATAATTATTTAAATAATAATATATTTTGCAATACCTAGATGAATCGAATAACTGGAATAATGAGTTTCATTTAGAATCTCATTAACTCAATCATAATCTCTTGAAATCCAAGGATATCTATTACTTTTGATCACACTAAGTTAATCCATAATAAGATCCTTTTTTGTCGGTCTGAATTTGGCTGATAACTTTGTGAAATTCATCTTGTGCATCTCTTATTCTTTCCTCTAGATTAGTGTGCACAACCATCTGATTTAAACTGCATATACCCTAGACATTCTATCCTCCAATATTCATATATAAATTCGTCATATCTCCAATCAATTCTAACTATTAATTTAGTAGAAAATTTGCATGTCTACTAGACTTTCTACTCAATACAATTGCTATCACATTTACCTTTCTAGGATGATTTTGTACATCAAGATTACAATCTTTTATTAACTCTAATTGTCTTTTTTATCAAAAATTCAACTCTTTCGGGTAAAAATATACTTAAAAACTTTTACTATATGAGTATACCTTACACCTTACCCAATATAGGTATTGCCTACAAATTTTTAGACCAAAAACAATTGCAAATCTAAATTATGTGCTGAGTAATTTATTTCAAACAGTTTCAATTGTTTGGAAGTATAAGCAATTATTTTCGTGTTCTGTATTAAAATACATCCTAGACCCTTCAAAGATACACCATTGAATATCTAAAATCCCTCAATTATATATGAATGTTTAACAATAAAGCAAATCTCAAACACTTCCTAAGCTCACAAAAACTCTGCTCACCTTCATCAACATAAATAAATTTAACATCTTTCTTGGTTAGCCTAGATAAAGGCAAAGCAATATGTAAAAATTCCTACACAAATCTCATGTAATAGCGAAGTAAGCGAACTAATGCTAAAAAGCTTCAACTCTCAGTCACATTGGCTGAATTTGTCCATTCCACTATTGCACTCACGTTTCTAGAATCAACGGATATACCTTTACAACTAATGTATGACATAAGAAAACAACACTTCTAAGCAAATCTTCATATTTAGAGAATTTAGTATACAATTTGTTCTTCAATAAACACAAAAATAATCCTTAAAAGAATGGTATGATCATCATCATTTTTGGATAAACAAATATATCATCTATAAATAATCTCACAAACAAATCAAGATAAGGCTTGAAGTCTATATTCTTGATATTCATAAATACTATTGTGGCATTAATTAGTCTAAAAATCCTAACCAAGTATTGATAGTGCGCATACGTTAAGCTAGAAATTGTCTTTTCAATGTCACTATCCTTCACAATTACTTGATTTTATTAAAATAGATTTAATCTTCTTTTTTTCTTTAGGTGCAAAAATTGAGATATAAAATTTTAGATGAATTTTGACTAATAAATTTTCAAAATTTTGAGTATTACAAATCCACCAACCACATTTGCAAAGGACTGGAAAGTGAAATCAGCATGAGGCGCAGTATCCAACAATATGAAAACAGGAAGAAGAGCCTCCAAAAAGCTAAAGAGGCACCGAAATAGGTGGCGGCGACAGTGACCAATATGGGGTTCAACTGAAGCCCTTGATGCGGATAATGTAGGAGATGGAATCAAGGAAAGGAAACAACAACGTGTGTTTCCTAATAGAGAAGAGAACACGAGCAGCAAAGATTTTGAGGGAGAAAATGTGAAAGCAAATTGGAGGGAAGAAAAATGGCAAGCAAGCAAGATATATGGCAAGACCACAACCCTAGACGAGAGCTGGCAAACATGAATTGGAACATCAAAAGCTACCCAAGACACAACATATATGCACAAGCGAACCACGTGCACGAGCGCATAGCAAGATATGAAGCATGAAACAACACACGTAAGAGCAATGGAGTGCAGGTATGCCTCTTGCATGGGAAGAAGCGAGAAAGGTGAGAGTGCGATGGGTTTGGAAGACTATTTTTCCTTTTGTTTGAAAATATAGAACAGTAGGGGCAAACTAGGAGGCCCAAATTAGCCAAACAGATTTCCGGACATCTTTAATTGAATGCAGAATTTGCAAACGGAAACAAATGATCAACAGGACCATTAAGGCCATCCAAATTCCTAAGATTGAGGTAGGTGAAAAACAGATGGCTGAACAGACATCCATCCAAATTGAGGGAGCAGAATTTGGAAGGTTGGACATCCACGGAATTGGAAGGAGCAGGATTAAAGGAATGGCATTAATGTGAATCCCAGAATTTATCCCAGGATTTTTACAATTTTATTCACATGAGCCCCTACTGGTAAAACTTCATACATCTTTCTTGGTTAGCCTAGATAAAGGCAAAGCAATATGTAAAAATTCCTACACAAATCTCATGTAATAGCCAACTAATGCTAAAAAAGTTACATTGGCTTAACTTTTCCATTCCACTATTGCTCTTAAGTTCCTAGAATCAACTGATATACCATTACCACTAATGATATGACATAAGAAAACAACATTTCTAAGCAAAACTTCATATTTAGAGAATTTAGCATATAATTAACGTTCTTCAATAAACACAAAAATAATCCTTAAATGAATATTATGATCATCATCATTTTTGGATAAACAAATATATCATCTATAAATAATATCACAAACAAATCAAGATAAGGCTTGAAGTCTATATTCTTGATATTCATAAATACTATTATGGCATTAGTTAGTCTAAAAATACTAACCAAGTATTGATAGTGCACATAGCTTAAGCTAAAAGTTGTCTTTTCAATGCCACTATCCTTCACCATTACTTGATTTTATTAAAATAGATTTAATCTTTTTATTTTTTTTAGGTGCAAAAATTGGGATACAAAATTTTAGACGAACTTTGACTAATAATTTTTTAAAATTTTGAGTATTACAAATCCAACAACCACATCTGCAAAGGACTGAAAAGTGAAATCAGCATGAGGCGCAGTATCCAACAATATGAAAGTAGGAAGAAGAGCCTCCAAAAAGCTAAAGAGGCACCCAAATAGGTGGCAGCGACAGTGACCAATTTGGGGTTCAACTGAAGCCCTTGATGCGGATAATGTAGGAGATGGAATCAAGAAAAGGAACCACCAATGTGATTGTTAATAGAGAAGAGAACGCAAGCAGCAAAGATTTTGAGCGAGAAAATGTGAAAGAAAATTGGAGGGAAGAAAAATGGCAAGCAAGCAACATATATGACAGGACCACAACCCTAGACGAGAGTTGGCAAACATGAATTGGAACATCAAAAGCTACCCAGGACACAACATATATGCACAAGCGAACCACGTGCACGAGCGCATAGCGAGATATGAAGCATGAAACAGCACACGTAAGAGAAATGGAGTGCAGGTATGCCTCTTGCATGGGAAGAAGCGAGAAAGGTGAGAGTGCGATGGGTTTGGAAGACTATTTTTCCTTTTGTTTGAAAATATAGAACAGTAGGGGCAAACTAGGAGGCCCAAATCAGCCAAAGAGATTTCCGGACATCTTTAATTGAATGCAGAATTTGCAAACGGAAACAATTGATCAATAGGACCATTAAGGCCATCAAAATTCCTAAGATTGTGGTAGGTGAAACCGTGAAAAACATATGGCTGAACAGACATCCATCCAAATTGAGGGAGCAGAATTTGGAAGGTTGGACATCCACGAAATTGGAAGGAGCAGGATTGAAGGAATGGCATTAATGTAAATCCCAAAATTTATCCCAGGATTTTTACAATTTTATTCACATAAGCCCGTACTGCTAAAACTTTTGCATTCGATAGTCTCAAATATCATGCTTCAACAATTTTTTTTTTCAAAAATAGCTTTCAAGTCGGCACTCAATCAAGTTCTAGCCATACTGAATAATGCAAAAATAAATACCAAGCCACAAATTATCAATCTAATCACAAAGAAGCCTCTTGTTATATAGAAAGTTTTACCAAATAGTACGAATGATTACAGAGTTGAACAGTAAATGAATCATTGGTCAGGACCTAATTGGGTATCAGTGCAGAAATTTAATGCAATAAAACAATACAAGTACTAAATTTCATAATGCAAAAATTAATTGGTGGCATGCATACTTTTATATGTAAACAGTCCAAAACTTATATCTCAATGATAGCTTTAAAATGGGAAATATATTTCATTGGTATATTGGAAATGCATTTTAAATGGGCAGGTATTTACTTGGTCAACTTTATGCCCATCATAAAATGATCATTGTGGTTTCCGCCAAACAGAGTCTGAAAGTCAACAGGTTTTGCTCGCTTCTGAGATGCTAAATTTCCATCAATATTTTTGTCATCTCCAAGGACATCTCCCGCTCCAAACTCTTCAGAAAAACGATCCATGTATGCCACATTTCCCTGAAGCATGCCTTGTAAATTATAATCATGGAAGAGAAAAGAATGATATTTGGAAAGAATATATGAATATTATTTCACAAAAAGTCATTGTTCTCTAGCAGTGGTGTACCTTTACAGGCTTATTTTAATCTTAACATACCAAGATGAGCAGTTATAAAAAGAAAAAAAAAAAGCTAAACATACTTTGTGTGATAATGAAGAAAGCTGAACAAGCCTCTTTACCACTCGAAATGCAATGCTTGCAAGCGGTAGTAAAAGCATCACCTGCTCATTTACAAAGTTTAAAAAGAATTATATTAGAAAAATAATAAAGAAAATGCACCAGATGGCTCCACTTTCATAGTAATCAATTAGACAGATCATATATGGACTACTGGACTTCTAAATCAAATATGATAAATCACGATTCCCATGATTTGAGTGCATAGTTTCAGTGTAATTTGTTCAAGAGGTTCCAGCAATATGCTAAAAGGTGCCAACAAAGTATAGAAGAGGTGTCCAAGAAATGTTTTTTTTTTTTTTTTTAAACAAAAAAGAGAAGCTAAATGGTGTGCCTAAAAGAGTGCCCTAGAGCATCCAAGTGTCAATGATGTCTGACATATCAGTCATCTAGAAATGAATCTTTCTGAAAGGTACAGGATTAAAAAAGAAAGGAAAGAGAGAACATCTTAGAACACTTTCACAAAAAATACTATTATCCAGGTATATTAAATGATTGTTTGTTTGGATGGAAAAAGGAATGCAAGGTAAAAGAAATACAGTGTAAAATAAAAATAGTGCAAGGAAAATGATTTTGAGTTGTTTGGTTGAATATGCTACAAATGCATGAGTTCACTATTTTTGTTTGATTTGAAGTAAGAGAATGCAAAGTAGCATAGTAATCCATTAACAATAGTTGATCGGAAGTAGCCAGCAGCAAGGATAGTGGACAACGGCTAGCTATGGTGATGGTGGTCGATAGCAATTAGCTAAGGGGAGAGAGTGGCTGAGGCTGGTGATGACTAGCAGTGGATGCATCTGATAGTGGCGAGCATTGGCAGACGGTGAGTGTTAGCTGGCAATGGGTAGCAACGGCGGTAGTGGCAACTGACAGGTAGCAATGGGAGGCGAACGACAAGCATCACTTCTACCCAAGCTATGTATTTAATATTCACTTAAAATGGATTCCAAACACATTGAAAATGGACTAGAGGCTGAAGTCCAAATTCATTCCCAAAATACTTTGCATCAAAACCTCTATGTTTATTTTACACTCAAAATGCTGCCAACCAAACAACCCCTAAAGCAACATAAAAGATTTCCCATTAAGGATACAATGATTTACAAAGACTTACAAATGAGCGCCTAGCACCAGGATTCTTAATTATTTGTATAATAGCAAAATCAACATTATCATCATTTTTGTTGTATGTGATGTAAATGCAAAAAAAAAATTACTAGCAATCACAACATTTCAAAATAATACTAAGCAGAGTCCCAGAAATGATGCTAAAACTTCATTCTTACAGAACTCACAAACATGTTATTGGCAGTACTTTAAGAACAATTTAAAGTTATATGACGCCTTGAACCTACACTGAATCTTTACAAGCATCAGGCAATTAAATGTTTTATAGCGTAACAAACAAGACCCAAAACAAAGTTTACAAACATAAAAAGGCTACTTACATAACTTAGGCTAATCACCTGCAGCAAAAATATTTTTTTTCATGACCATCATAACATCAAAATCATCTACACAGCAACCAGCAATCTTATCATATCCACCATTATCATGGTTGAGTTGACGGTGTAGGCCAGCAAGGTTGATGCAGTCCTCCAGAAACATATTTAATGTGAGCATGGAAAGCTTGTAGGAACATAGTGTTGGAGAATTTTTGTCATCTCAACGAATTGGGATATTTTGTGATCGAGCACGATAGAAAATAATAAATCATCTCAAAGGAAAAAATTATTATTTTGCTATGGACTCAATAACAAAACCCACAATTTTATATTTTTAACATATATTTTTTTCTATTCAATATTTGATTAAATAGGATTTATTTTATTCTGGGGCACGGATGCCCCATAGAGGCAAGCCCCTATTGATTAATTACATCTCAAATATTTGTTACTTGAGAACATTTTTTTTTAAACTAGTGATTTATTTAGAGTCATCAAAAGATTAGCTAGTATTTTCATTTTAAAATTTATGAACTTGTTCAAAGATTTTGGTCATTGGGAATTTCAAGGGTGATGTGATTAACTTTAAATCAAATTTTTTGAATGGAGGCCAAAGAAGGAGAATGTAGGAGTACTTTATTCTGAGAAAACTCAGAGGTACTCAGACCATCCTATGTTGGACATTATATTTTAAAATAAGATTTTTGTTTAATTTGGTCAATTTGATCTAGAATGTTGGGGTTTATATTCCAATAACACATGTTGAAGAAAATGTATGGAATGTGCGAACTTACAAAGTGGCTGGAGTCAATAATAACCTCGGATCCTGGAGCTAAAGCAAGGACTACTAAAAGGTAGTGTCTCAAACCAAGTCTAATGGAGAGCAAGAGATTGATAAACCTACACCTCACAAGAGGCGTAAGTCAACCCAATCACTGGATTTACAACCCTACCTGAAAAGGGCTACCAACTAAACTCACCTAAACACTTTTAAAACCATGAGCTAGACCTTGTCTCAATGCATATGAAGATTAATGAGGCTATTTTTATTTAGAAAATAGGACTTACAACTTGGCTTTTAGGCCAAGATGCCTGATTATGTTGGTCATACTTATTAATAACGCAAAATAGCGCGCGCCAATGAGCGTGGCACAGCGCACTTACAGTGTTTATGCTCTCTCCTTGCAAAGGCGAGATGGAGGCAGGAGGAAGCCCGAGCTTGCTGTCTAAGTTACTCCGGGTGCTGTCTTCCGCAATCATGAGCTTCTAGGAGTTGATGTTTAAGGAAGAAGAGGCTCCACTCCCTCTATTGGCTACTGGAATGGAATGGTTACAACAAATCCTTCCACAAGCTCTAATCTTCTTCTCCGACTATCAAGATTGAATGAATGGCCGACCCTTAGCTCCTAAACCATGCACACAAGGAAAATAGGAAGAAAGTGTCGAAAAGCTCCCTGCTCAGCCACTTAGTTCGACAAAGACGTACACATGAGGCCTAGATGCCCGATCTCCCTCAAGTCGAGTCCCAAATCGCATACGAAGATATCCCAGTCGATTGAAATGTCCAGCCTTATCTGGTACGTGTGCACGAGAGACGGGCCGCTCCACTCGGCTCCTCTAGACACGCAGGATCGAGAGGATGGATGTCCGATCCTCACTCTTGATCGCTCCTGTCTAGACACAAACACACAGGGAACAAAACTCTTGATCGGTCTCCCGCTCCCCATCTCTTCACCTAAATAGATCGCACGCCAAAGTTGCCTGCTCTACCTAGAAGAGTCACACGCAAGCACGATGCCTTGGCCTTCGCTCCTCTTGCTCTCTCAAGTTCGGGTTGGATTCATGCAAAAGTCTCCTTCCGCTCTGATCTCTCTCATGAAAGCATGATGCCCTGACACGCAGGAAGAGAACCAAATGCCAGACATTTGAATGCTCGTTTCTCTCCTTTTGTTTTTGAAAGAGAGAACAACCGACCCGAAATAGAAGCCCTTCCTTTTTCTCTCATCTCATTCGTTCGAACACATGCAAATGGAGCCTAGTAGCTGCTAGAGATCACAAAAATCAAGGTAAAAAATATGGGGTCAACTGCCAATTCGATTCTAGCCACTTGATTTAGCTTCCTGATCTGAAAATGTTTGGAAAAGTTCATAAAAGTTGATAAACCATGGGCAGAATCAAATAAGTCAAAATGGGCTGAAATTGAATTTAAATTGAACTCAATTTGAATCTATTTGAGTCGATTTCGGTTCGAATTGGCTCGATCGAGCTAACTTGAAGAAATTAGGCTCGAATCGACACTGATTTAAGCCGAATTGGGTTTGATGGGGCTCAAATGAGCTGATCGGGTTCAATTGAACCCATTCGGGTCTACTTCAACTCAATTCAAGTCGAGTCGACACGAAAATTTTGCCAACACATAGCATGGGGTTGGAAGTACAACCTACAGTCTTCAGTCTTGATGAGCATTAACCAGACTCAACAATATTTTGGCTTTATCAGATGAAGTTTTGGAGAGCAAAAGGAATGCTCTAGCATATAACTGTTGTTAACCATGGTTGAAGTTTTGACAGGGCTAAAAGCCTTTTGTTTTGAAGGTAGGAATGAGTTAAAAGTTTTCAGTTTTGAAGGTATTAAGGAACCAAATGTAAATAGCACATTTACGCATGTTATCTGCCAAAATAGAAAGAAAAAAATATCAACACGAACCTTGGGACGAGTAAAACCTTGATCAAGGTAAAATTCACCACAATGAATCTCTTCACTTTTACTATTTTCATCTTTATTAAGTTTAGCATCATTCTTCAACACATTTTCTCGAATGCTGTGTATATGATTTAACTGAATGAAAGATCAACCTATATTAGTTAGAAAACTTGAAAAATTAATCTCATACGATATTAAAACAAAAGCAGAATGAAACAAATGTCAGAGATGTCTTCATACCGCATGCATAATATATGCATCCATGATACTTGAATCATCTTCTTTGCCTTTCAGATAAAATGGTCTCTTGTTACAATGCATTATATCTCGATAAGTATTGCCTGTCATAAGATACAACGTGGATAATTGTATGATATAGAAAGTTAAAACTATGAGTTAATAGGTTATTATTGAGATTACAAATATAAAACATACTATAGAGAGAAACATGAGACCCAATTAGGTTGGTCTACGAATAATAACTGTCAAACAAATCCCACCAATATATACCCCTACAAACAAGAAATAAAATAACAGGGAAAATTCTATTATATTAAAATCTTTCTTTTGAAGATCCATTTAATAATCCAATTAGAAGCATGAAAACCAAACTTCTGCTATATGGTTAATCCAATAAATAATAAGTACAATTAACATTTCCACATTAATATAAAAATCAGAGCATCTAAATGATCTATACATCTTATCCACCAAGACAAAAAAAAAATCAACTATTATAGCAATTCATACAAGAATAATCAAACTTGGCATTACATCAAATCATTAACTACATAACCTTAAATCACATTCCCAAGCATAAGAAGCATAAATCTGATCAATCCTTCTGCAAGGTTTGTAGACCTAGAGATTTAAAAGCACAAAAATTAATAGGTGCGAATTTACGAAATGTTTGAATAATTCCAACGAGCAGGGGCCCAAAATCACCAAGACTTCCACGGTTCCACCCTCTTTCCATCCTTTTTATCTGTCACCTCATTATCGATGGGATCTCTATAGCTTACTCATCAATTTGTGGATTATTATAATTCATCAGTAATTATTATTATGTTAAAACACCAATCCGTAAAATGAAATATTGCATAAATGTTTGAACGAAATACTCGATTACTTCTCTCAAATTCTTATCGTGGTATCATAAGAAATTACAAGTGTTCAATTGATGCAATTCTCTCTTCATTTTTCAACTAATTTTCTATAACTACAAACTTCAACATCGTATTGCCACAAATTGGTTCCATTAGTGCAGCCTTCATCACTGCTTTGTTATATTTCTTTCCTTTTCTGTTTTTTTGCTGTGAACATAACCACAAATTCTCTCTCCATAGACAACAATAATAGTACCCACATACCTTTGGTCTTGAGTTTTCTTGAAATAGAAAAATGCAATCAAAATCAAGCAGGAAAGTTGCAACACGTTTGTTCAACATACCAATTGAATGGAAAGAACAATCTAAATTGATTAGGATTATTTTATAGGTTCTTAAAGGGAACAATAAAATTGAGCCTTCTTCTCATGCCTTCAAAATCTTAAAAATGTCCATTTCCAACATCTGGTTTATTGATTCAAGAGCTATGATGCACCGACACTTCTTCTCAAAGAGGTGTGCAGTGTCCGACACCGTGTCCGACACGACACTCCTCCGACACGTGTCAAACACGCCGAAAACGTGTCTGATTAAAAAAATATTAAAAATAAATTGGACACGTGTGTCCGACACGCGTATCTTAAATATTTTATAATTTTTTTAAATATAATTTCTTATATTTAGCGAGATTTAAACTAAATTTCTTATTTCTTATCCACAACACCAAATCAATGTCTGCATTTAATACCCATTCAATGAAGATTCACATTTTCATTTCTCTTTGGCAGTGAAGGTATTTTCATCTCCTCTTTTTGCACAATTACAAATCTTTCTCTTGTTGAACCAGAGTTGAAAGCAGTGATATTCAATGATTATGATATTGAAGGCAAAAAATAAACCTCTAAAGCTAATCCTAGTAGTTTAAACTGGAATGCTTGATGTTGTAGTAAGTGATTATTTGCTTATATTTTTGCAGTTGTACTAGATATTTTGTACTAAATATTTTATACTATAAGCTAGACAAGTTATCATGTCATTCATTTATTATTGTTTGTCATTTTTAATATGATATTACATTAATATATATACACTATATAAAAAAATGTATTGTCGTGTCCGCGTCGTACCCGTGTCCTATATTTTCAAAAAAAAACCGTATCCCGTGTCCGTGTCATGTCGTGTCCGTGTCGCCGTGTCCGTGTCCGTGCATCATAGTTCAAGAGCTATATATCATATAACCAACTCCTCTCATAAACTTATTTCATATAAACCTTGTCCTAGTAACAAAATGATAACCATGGCAAATGGATCCTTGACTACCATGGCTTGTTAAGGAAATAAACTTATAAATAAATGTCTCACACTCTAAAATGCCCTCCATATATCTAAATTATTTACCGATATAATATATATTTAAAAACTAACTACAGATTCTAAGTACAAGATTATGTTTTATCCATCATATTATATCTTTCAGCATCAAGGCAAAAGGAGGACGATTGACTTTTTATAGAAAGGGATGGCCCGTACCAAGAACAAAAATAATACATAAGTCATCTTATGTTTATTCACCTCAACAAAATAACGTAATTGAATGAAAGAATTACTAGATACTTGCTACCAGAAACGCTATCCTTTGTCAACAAAATGCCTCAAAATAATATAAGAGGAAGCAATTTTAACAGTCGCCCACATCACAAGGCTGCTACCCATAAAGTTCCTTGGATTTAAGAGTTCTACACTAAGTTCTAAATAAATTCTACCACCATTTCAATACCTCAAATAACACTTTTTTACCAAATATTTAAAAGTGTTGCATTTGTTCATGTACATTTTCAAAATAGAGGAAAATTTTTTTACCAACAATAATATACATAAAAAATTCCAAATACATGAGATGACATGAATATTGTGCAAATATTCCTATGCATTATCCACTAGAGCTCAAAATTGATTGTATGTTGTTAATAATAGGTCCGTCACAAATGGGTGCTATTGACGATCATATCCACTAAGCACATCAACATAAATATATACACATTATATGTCTTGAGTGTAATGCATCAACAAAGGTATATTATTAACGTTAAAGTGTATAATCCCCCATAACTCGAAAGTTAATTACATCAAGGTTATATCAGAGCTCATGTTATGTTCTACTAGGCTTCTTAGTCTTTTTAGGAAAATTTCTATGGATAGATTTCATATTTATAGATGCTAGTAAATATAAATTTTAACATCTATTTATGCAACTTTCAATAATGATCATTGGGGGAATTCATATTCTCTATAGTGGAATTAATTATCATATTATTATTAAGGGGGGTTTGCATACATATCACAAATTCTAATATATTCACACATCTAACATCTAAGGCTTTATATAGTTATATAACACTCAAATCTCCAAATCACATCAAAAACTCCACTAATATTAACTTTCTTTGAAGTAAAAAACATATTTTAATGCCTATGTTTTAATGTGTTTTAGACATTAAAGTGGAACATAAATAAATATAAAGATAGATATGAAAATAAATAAGAATGTTATGACATGTATATAAATCTCCTTATTATTAAATGTTTGGAGACCACTCAATAGCAAATATGAGACTTTCCTCATTAAGGGATAAAAATGTACCCTTCCTCATTAGTGTACCCTTCCTCATTAGGGTTGTTCACTTCAAATTCGTGTAAAATATATTCATAATTAGTATGCATTATTCCATGTTTAAGTTATTAATTGATAGTTATCAACACTTCCCTGATTATGTAAATATCAATTAAGCATATTAACAATTGCCCATGAATTATTTTGACTTGATTATTGTGTTTGTTATTGCATAGCCTTACCTCTAATGTCTATCATATCATTGTAATGTAATTGAATCTATCTGTTTGTCCAAGTAATGGTGGATAATACACAAGGATAATGGCAGTGTATCTTTATTGTTGCACAGTACTGATAAGATTGTCAGCGATACCCACTTGATTGATATATTATTGGCTAGCTTGGCTTGACAGACCTGGTACTCAAACTGATTAATCTTGTCCAGGAGGTAAAGGAGCTCCATGCGGTTAGTGACAACCTTCCTTTAGATTTAGGGTATAACGAAAAACTGACATATACTATATAAGGTTGTTGACGAAAAATCCCTTAAGATATTCCTTCAAATGTAAATATGGCGTGGTTTTTCAGTTCAGCATAAAATTGCATTGATTGTCATTTACACAATGTTATTTATGGGCTCTAGTAAATGATTACAAGTGTTTAATACTTGACACTCCATTAGTTCTTGCTATATTATGAAGTTGTTCTAGTTGATGCAATAGTTAGAATAATTGTGACAAAATTACTTGTTAATCATGACATTCCGTTATTCTAGGTATTTAAGCCTTAACAAATAGGGTTTATGATAGGAAGTACTTGAGTTTGCAAGTAACCCTAAGGTAATACTTGAGTTCGCAAGCAAACCTACTCGAAATTAGTGAGAAAACATAACGCAAACTGCTGTTTACAGCAGAAAATCAGCACTTCGCAGCAGATTTCTTGGGGAAAACAGTAGAAAACTGAGAGAAAACAAAAGATTCCACTAGTAGATGGAGAAAATGTTATTATTTTATAAATTGAGAATGTCAGTGGATTTAGATGCTCTGAATTTAATATAGATGGAGAAAATGTTATTATTTATTGTATTAAATTTAAATTTATAAACTCACCATAGCGGACCGCTGTCAAAATTTTCCAAACCAAGTGGACGGATTGTTACAACAACACCTTAACTAGCCAGTGAAATTTTACTTCACTTTATTTTGAGCATAACCTTAAATGACATCAGACAGTAAATATTATCGTGTAAAAACTCTTAAATGCTCCCATTTAATCAATTTAGTTTACCAAAACGGTTCTTAAACAAATTCACGTTGGAAAAGGCATTAAAAAACTGGAGGCTCAAGATACTGCAAAGAAGGCAAACATGCTAAGGGGAGTTAAAAAAAAAAGGATATGAATGATACAACACAAATACCACGTATGAAAAACTTAATGCATAATAGACATTATATTATCTCATGTTGAATATCATCCAAGCCTGCATTATTCATTGAAACAACATTTGGATGATGGAACTGAAACATTTTGAAGTTCTTAAGCACTTTCCAGGTCCCATTCAGCTAACTAACAAAGCAGCAATTAAATATAATAAGAGATCAAACAGCATGTGTGTATAACCACTAAGCCATTAGCAAGAAACAAAAGAATACTTACAGAGTGAAAAGAAGAGCCTCCGCTTGGATAAACATGAATCCTCAAAATTGGAACTACAGTCTAAGTTCTTCCAATGGTTATAGAGCTTCTGATTTACCCCACAGAAAGGGTCCCCATTAAGCTCCTACAGCATGCAGAAGTGGCCAGAAATGTCAGACATTTACCAAACAAAACAAACAATCAAATCAAATCAACCTCCACAGTAAAATAAGGAAAAATAGCTAATAGGGGGCATCTGGTTAACTAAAAATAAAAATCCCGTTTCATTGGGGTATTCAGCATAATTTGGCTTGACTCAACAAAGATGAAACGTGTATGCCAATAAAAAATAGAGCGGGAAAAAGCTATATGCTTCACTGCTTTCTTACTTGAATTGGCCAAGTAAACATGCTTGTCAGTTAAACACTTAAACTTTGGCCATTCTTTAAAACGAGTAATATGAGCACAAATGGTTAGTATATGGTGACGGCGATAAGAATTTGAATGAAAACCAGTGGAAATCAGTACTAACTTAATAGGGGTGTCAAGAGCTTTGTACATTTCTTTATCAAACATTTAAGTGAACCAAATGATCTGCGCATTGACAAGCAAACCTAAATCTAAATAAAAACCAATCAGCTTTGTAAAAAATGACCTAGAACCAACAACAACATCAAGCCTTTGTCTCACTAAGTGGGGTCAGCTACATGAATCCTTTTTCGCCATTGTATTCGATTAAAAGTCAAATTCTCATCTAATTCTAATAAAGAAAGATCATTTCTAATATTTTCTAACCAAATCTTTTTAGGTCTACCTCTACCTTTTTTAACATAAACCAAATCTAATACGTCAACTTTCCCAACCGGGTCATCGAAGGTCTCCGTTTAATGTGACCAAACCATCTAAGGCGACACTCTCTAATCTTATCTTCCATTGGAGCTACTCCAAGCTTTTCACGTATATGCTCATTTCGTATCCTATCTCTAAGGGTCAAGCCACTCATCCACCTAAGCATCCTCATCTCTGCAACACTTAACTTAGTATTATGCTTCTCTTTTAATGGCCAACATTCGGCACCATAAAGCATTGCAAATCTCACCACCATCTTATAGAATTTTTCCTTAAGTTTGAGGGGGACTTTTCTATCGCACAATAAGCCCGATGCATTCCTCCTATTCAACCATCCAATTTGAATTCTACTGATAATATCCCAATCAATTTCACCATCACTCTGAACAATAGATCCAAGATATCTAAAACATGTACTCTTATTAATGACTTGATCGCCCAAAGTCACAATCCCCTCACTAGGTCTATTTCCACTAAAATTACACTCCATATATTCAGTTTTAGATCTACTCAAGCGAAAACCTTTAGACTCTAAAGATGACCTCCATAATTCAAGTTTACCTTCAACTCCCTCTCTAGTCTTATCAACAAGAAGAAAATCATCAGCAAAAAGCATGCATCAAGGTACATCCTCTTGCAAATGTCTAGTGATAACATCCATGACTAAAGCAAAAAAATATGAACTTAAGGCTGATCCTTGATGTAATCCAACCGAAATAGGAAAATACTTGGTCAAACCACCTTGTGTTTGAACACAAGTAATAGCTCCTGCATACATATCTTTAATGATTTGAATATAAGCATTATTAACTCCTTTCTTTTCAAGAACTCTCCATAGCACTTCTCTTGGAACTTTATCATATGCTTTCTCTAAATCAATAAATATCATATGTAGATCTTCCTTATTCTCTCTATATTTCTCCATCAAACCTCTCAATAAATGTATGGCTTCCATAGTAGACCTACCCGGCATGAATCCAAATTGATTTTGAGAAACATTAGTATTACGCCTCAACCTATGCTCCATAACTCGCTCCCATAGTTTTAAAGTATGACACATTAACTTAATTCCTCTATAATTCGCACACTCCTGTGCATCACCTTTATTCTTAAAAATAGGAATTAAAACACTCATTCTCCACTGATCTGACATCTTTTTAGTCTTCAAAATAGTATTAAAAAGTTTAGTATTAAAAAGTTCAGTAAAAAAATGACCTAGAACCAAATAAAACAAATTAAAAGAATGAGAAACTATCATTGCTATTGGTCTAGTTCAATTATTTGATTAGCAGTTGTTCCTACACCCATCGAGTAATGATGGAGATAAACTAAAAGAAATTAAGATAATAATTAAGATAATAAAATATATAAACAGTATCCTCATCATCATCACGCAACTTTACAAATTCTCATGTTATATCTGGTCCTACTAACTGTTTTCTGAGGTATTAAACCTATTTCAGCACAGGTCGCTTTGAGCAACTAAAATCAATAATAATTTTTATTGGAAATCTAAAAAATTGCTCAGAAATTCTCATGATAACAGAAAAAAAAAGGGGAAAGAAAAGACTTGCACGATTAAGGGATTACTACACCATAGATAAATCTTGTCCAGTTCCCACCAACTTAGACATAGTCATCTCCTTTACATGCATTTTCCATTCCAGCTTCAACTTATCTTTCGTTAACTTATCAACCTCTTCACTTGTTAAAACATGTCCAAAGTGGCGCTGGAAACAACTGCATCCAGAAAAATTTAATTTATCCCATCTTAAGTATAAAACAATAAAAGAAAAATGAAATAAAAAGTAATTGCGTCCATACCCAAATAAACATTGTATATAACAAACATCAAACTGCAAAAAACTGCAGTGCTAAAATTTGTTTCACCTCAGAAAAGGATAAATTAATTAACAAAAAGAGTTGAATGACATGAAAGTTTGACACAAAAAGTTCAAGTCTTTAACAGCCATTATAAGATGCCATAATTCCTAACAGCATTTCATGAGATAAATTGAGTCGATCAAGAAATCGAAGTATGATGACAGTAAGGCATCGATAACATTGCACGACCAACATTCAATAAAGTTCAATGAGGATCTAAGCAAGACAAACTGAAGAATATCCTTCAAAAAATAACTTTAAACCAATCGTCACTAGGTAAATGCTAAACTTTACTATATTAATACTAAAATACTACGATTAACATAATTTGATTTTATTTTACTTGTAAATACTTCCACAATGTATTAAAGGATTCATGTCATGATTATTCAACAAGTTTTATGCTGGCTGACAAACTAACGCAACCCTCCACTTTTCTCATCCAGGACTTGAGACCTGGCAACGACAGTGTTTGCCATTAAAAAATGTTGGCGAGACCTAAAAAGACTTGGTTAGAAAATACTAGAAATGACATTTCTTTATTAGATTAAACTGAGAATTTGACTCTTAACATAACACAATGGAGAAAAAGGATTCATTTAGCCAAACCCACGTAGTGGGATAAAGGCTTCATGTTATTATTGTTGTTGTTGTTGTTATAAATACTTCTACAAAATGAAGCACAAATATAATATTGGAAACAGGAGAAATCATTTATGAGATGCAACAAACTTTAAAAAAGGTGGAACAAAGATATAGAAAGGAATGATAAGACAAAAAGGAACCGCGTGTGCAAAAATAGAAATATGTAGGCAATTGCACGTTCGCATAATTAAAACTAATTGTGTACACATATATGTGAACATCCACATGAAATCATTTGCACCTTCACACATAGACATGTAAAGAATTACAAACATAAAACTTACAAAAGCATTTTTATAGTTTTAGGGGAAAAATTAACAATAATAACCAATAATTATTCAAGAAGGGTACTTGGAGTATCTAGTAAGCATCCAGCAACTGCTTAGGAAAATTTCAAAATATAGAATTATTGATACAAATATGATAGTTTGTACTCATTGAGAATCCATCTCTTCATTGTAATTCCCTAAATTGTCATAAACGTGTTTTCCTACTACTGTCGCAGCATTTGTTCCCACCATTGCCATTGTTTCCCACTATACTGTAGCAATTGCCACCCTTCTCAAGAACAGACGGCTTCTTGATTTTTGAAATCCCCCCATTACAACCTCACTTCTTGTTTGCGTTCCGCTAATATGGCAAGTGCCTTTTCCTTTCTCGTTGGATTGCTATCGCTGGAATTAGTTCCTAGTTCCTACTCCAGCCATTATCTAGCATCCAAATCTTCTGCTGCTTAATATGTCAGTAAAAAATCAGATTTCATCTACATCCCTAAATAATTATGAAAGTAGAATTTATGGAAGGGCTTCTATCACTGGAATTAATGAAAGGTGAAATAAAAACTTGTTATTTAAAGTAGATATCTATGGATTTTAAAGACTTTGAAGGCTAGTAATTAATGATAATTCTTAAGAATTCAAAATAATGTCAACCTATTTTTTTCTCTAATGTTACAATTTAATAAGAGTTTATGATATTTCAGTTTAAATCTATTAGGATTTTATTTGATTTATTATGAATTTTATAAAATTATAGGTAAATTAAAAAAATCTATTTAATCTAGAATTAGGATTTGATAAATTTTATTAGTCAAATAAACTCCAAATCTTATAAGATTAAAACCATAGGTTATGGACGGCAAAAAGATTATTCTCAAAAAGTTTAAAGTCAATTGAATTTAATTTTTATTTAATATTTTTTAATATTTAAGGTTTTATATTTAGAAAATTAAGAAATGGGCTTCTTGATTTCTAAATATCTGCAACAAGTCGTTTTGAATTCATAGTGGAGGACACAGTTTCTAGTTTTTCTCTGGTGCTTCCCGTCCTGTAGCAATGTTAGAGAGAATCAATGAGAATGAAAATTTATGCAAGAGAGGGAGGCAATGAGAGAAATGTAAAAGATTTGATAGGGGAGATAGAGGGATATCTGAATAGGGTTAGAATAAAGGAATTTTCATGAGGGGAGGCATAAAGAGAGGAAGGTGAAAATAGATGAATATGTAGGAAATTTTCTTTTATATTCTTAATTATATCATATTAAGTCTTAGAGTTTTATTTATAGAAAAAAAATCCTAAAAGGTGATTGCAAAGAGAACACTAAATAAAAATAAAAAACTATTTAAAATTTGAGAAATCCAAACAAATTAAAAAAACAAAATGTTTCTTGACTCATCAATCACTAATAAAACAACAACAACAACATCGAGACTTTATACAACTACGTGTGGTCAGCTACATGAATTTTTTTTCTCTATTGTGTCATGTTAAGAGTCAAATTCTCATTTACATCTAATAAAGATAGGTCATTTCTAATATTTTCTAACCAAGACTTTATAGGTCTACCTCTGCCTTTCTTAACATAGGCCAAATCTTACTAATACATCTATTCTCCTAACCGGGTCATCGGAAGGCCGCCGTTTTATGTGACCAAGCTATCTAAGGAGACTCTCTCTATTCTAATCTACCTTTGTAGCTACTACAACCTTTTCATGTATATGCTCGTTTTATGTCCTGTCTCTAAGAGTAAAGCCACTCATCCATCTGAGCATTCTCATCTCTGCATCCTTTAACTTAATATTATGCTTGATCGCTAATAAAGCATGAAATAATAATTAATCTCACCATTAATGTTGAACATATCTTTTGATCAGATGGTCAATATTGATTCTCCTAGATATGAAGAACTTTCCTAAGGAGAGAGTTCAGCCTACTCATCACATCGATTGAGAGATACAATGCAACTCATTATTTTCTATGTAAGAATAGTTTGATGGTGGATGATATTGCTAGTTGAAGGGCTTATTGTTGAATCTAAATTAGACTAGTGGATGATACCCGACTGTACTAACATATATGCCTAATGAGTTAAGAACCTATTAGTGAGAATGGAGAGTGCAAAGAGAAAAAAGAAGAAAGTAGGCTAGCAGAATTTCTACTATCTCAATCAAGAATACAAGAGAGGCTCAAGAGATATGCAAAAATTTTCAAAAAGGTTCTTCTCCACCCTTATTTATAAGGTTTTGATGGCTACAAGAAAGGTTATACAAAGAAAAATAAAATGCAAGCTATACAGAATACCCTTACAATGCTACACGCTAATTACATGTCGCCTCCTGATTGATAGTAGGATGATGAAGTCAACGATTAGGGGAGTTGTCTGTCGGTAGGCGAGCTCGAGAGAGGCGAGTAGGCTCAGGTAGAGTCAAAAGAGGGGATGGACTTGTGGTTAGAAGGTCGTCCTAATTGGTCAAAGACTAGCGTAGGAAGCTTGAAGTCGCCTTGTTGAGAAAGGTGAGCAGAGATTTTTGCAGGGAAGAGTCCTCGAGCCTGATAATAATAGTTGAATGAAGTGTGGAGTCTCTAGGGTAGGAACATTCCTAGCACAAAGTCTATCGAGTTCGAAGGAGGAGGATATGACTAAGATGAGTGGTGATATGTTTGCTCGGCAAGGAACTCCTTAGTTGCCATGCATTGGGTGAGCTCCTTGACGGATGTGGGTGAGTGATGTCCGCCGTTCTCCTTAGGCAAGTTCCTCTGCTAGTCCCAAGTGAGTCATTTGAGATATTTACTCCTGAGAGGGAATGTCCTTGTCATGACCCAATCGCTATTTATTAAAACCTATTATAATCTTATCAAATATTTTTTTCTACATCTAGAATTGATATTGCAACTAATTTTTCTAGTGGGGATGCAAATTGGCTTTGTCAAACCTAATGTGTCAAGCTCATCTCTTGGTCCCTTATTTATAAGCTTGGCTCAAGGTTTCACAACAACAACAACAACATCAAGCCTTCTTCCACTACGTGGGGTCGGCTACATGAATCCTTTTTCTCCATTGTGTCCTATTAAAAATCAAATTCTCATTTAAATCTAATAAAGAATGATCTTTTCTAATATTTTTTTTAACCAAGTCTTTTTAGGTCTACCTTTATATTTCTTAACATAAGTCAAATCTAATACCTCTACTTTCCTAACCGGGTCATCAGAAAGCCCCATTTTATGTGACCAAATCATCTAAGGCGGCTCTCTCTAATCTTATCTTCCATTGATGCTACTCCAACATTTTCATGCATATGCTCATTTCGATTCCTATCTCTAAGGGTAAAGCCACTCATCCAACTGAGCATCCTCATCTCTGCAACACTTAACTTAGTATTATGCTTCTCTTTTAATAGCCAACATTCAGCACTATAAAGCATTGTAGGTCTCACCACCATCTTATAGAACTTTCCCTTAAGTTTGAGGAGAATTTTCTATCACACAATAAGCCCGATGCATTCCTCCACTTCAAGCATCCAACTTGAATTATGCTAATAATATCCTTGTCTATTTCACAATCACTTTGAACAATATATCCAAGATATCTAAAATGTGTACTCTTATTAATGACTTGATCGCCTTCCAAAGTCACAATCCCCTCACTACGTCTATTACTACTAAAATTACACTCCATATATTCAATTTTAGATCTACTCAAGCGAACACCATTAGACTCTAATGTTGACCTCCATAATTCAAGTTTACCTTCAACTCCCTCTTTAGTCTTATCAATAAGAAGAATATTATCAGCAAAAGCATACACCAAGGTACATCCTCTTGCAAATGTCAAGTGAGAACATCCATGACTGAAGCAAAAAGATATGGGCTTAAGGCTGATCCTTGATGTAATTCAACTGAAATAGGAAAATACTTGGTCAAACCACCTTGTGTTTGAACACAAGTAATAGCTCCAACTAAATAGGAAAATACTAAAAAAAACTCACATGCAAGCAAAATTACATAGCAATGCTTAATAAATGCTTTTGTAAAATGAATAAAACTAGCTAACTTGTGTCTTATAAAGGTACAAAGAAATTATGAGAGTTCTTTGAAAATGAAGCTTATAGTGATGAAATCTCTAGAGACTTTAATTTGAGTTGGTGGGCAACTTTGGTTGCTTGGGCAACTTCGATAGCGACTGATGTGTTGAATTTAATTGATTTTGGGGTTGAATATTGAATAGTTGTGTCGAGTAGCTTTAATAACATGAATTGGCAAGTACATTAACAAGATCATCTTACCTCTTTAGCTTCATCAACTCTGCGGCAAGTTGATTTAATTACTTGATAACTTACTTGAACCTAATTTATGATAATGGTGGGGTTTTATTAACTTGGCCTAAGAGACATTGGTTGAATACAATGTTCGGGCTTAGCAAGGAACACAATATTATGACAACCACTATAATCCCTCTCTACTCTCCCAAACTCTTCAATTTCCACACATCTCTCAATCTAGTTGTTCATTTTTTTTACCTTTTGGCCTCTATTGACCACCATCTGCATTGTCAACACATACTTTACCTTGGTCATTGGACCAAGATGGCAGTCCCCTCATTGGCTTAGAGAAGGATTGACAAACTCCAATTTGTTTTTATTAATTTCTAAATGAAATATCTATTAATTTTGTAATACCAAAAAAATAAATAAAGGATGTATCATAAGAGCATAAGAATGAGCTCTACAAAAAATATTCTACCCTAGTGTAATAAGAAATATTAACTCACTAATCTTGGATAGCATAAGAGTTTCTGCCTCGTAAGGAAGGCACAATGACTTAAATCCCCAAACATGCATTCTTCAAGTATTAATGAATCAAAGGAAGTCTAGGCAAATTAATTATATTTTTTTGATAAATTGTTCACAAATTGAATGCACTATACTAGAATTACAACATTATGAACTTTTTAAAATTTCTGAGAGTAAAATGCAAAAGAATAAAACTAATTCCAATAGAATAAACAGCAGTCATGATGAAAATGACAAGATGAGAAAGATGTAGCTCAAAATAGCATAAAGACGATAATGACTACGCCAAAATAACTATATGGATGAACCAACAGCAGTGGAATAAAAAAAGAACCCTCAGAAAAAATAATAGCAAACAAAATTTCTTTCTCACACAAACAATACCCTACATCAGCTGGTAAACAATGTTCAATGTTACTTATTGCGCAAAGGGTTTTTCTTGAATTTGTCTGTTGCTTTCAGGAATAGATTATCAAATCTATCATATATCATGTGTTCAAAAAAGAAACCGTCACTTTTGGGAGAAAAATCATGTCATGTTGATGATTACAATTTTTTTTATTAAAATTGTTTACTATTTTAAAAAAATCAAAGTTAAGTTTTATCAAACAATAACAATGCATTGAGATTTGCAAAAACATAGCAAGACTAACAAATATTACAAGCTTATTGAACAAGCATGAAACTTGATAGAAAGCTTTCCTTCAAGGCTCAAATATTCGTTCACAATTGAAAATTTAATCAAGAAATGTATCCACAATTCCTTTCAATGCTTACAATTACTAGCATATACCTTACTTATAAAAGGGAACCTTTACCAAACGTATGCATGGCCTTAGGAAATCTAATTTTGTTTGAAAATATATGAGAGAAAGAATATTCAAACTATGATGAAAAAGATTCAGTTGATGCAATCCCCAAAAAATTCAAAAGATTATGACCATCTCATTTTCTATGAAGCAGTTTTTATTTCCATTGGCTCTATGATTCCTTAGTTTCACATGAGCTTGTACCAGTTAAATCCATGTCGGATATTGTTTGTGCCCAAATTACACTGTACAAAAATTTTTATCTTGATTTATTCAAAACCTGGATCACAAGCTTAGATCACCAATTCATTAGTTTAGAAAACAATGTATTTAACTAAAATTACGAAAACTTTCATGGTTAAATTGTAAATATTAAAAAAAAAAAACAAGTTCAGCTTTTCATATTTATCTTGCAAAGGTTAAGATTAGAACCTGAAAAACTTGCTGCATGGCTTCAATTCACTTCCTAAACCAGATTGATTGGACTCCATTTCTGTTGCATGAAATTAATCTTATGTTATCAGTTAAAGGTTCACTAATAATTGATCTTGATGATTCAAAAAAACATAATAACTTGCATTAACAAATATCACAATGAGGCAATCTTGCTGATTAAAAAAGAACAAAATTCATAATATGAATACATCATAGACTCTAATTAAGATATGATAAAAGTACCAGCTTGAGACTAGCATATTAAGGATAATAGAAAGCCTAGTTCATAAATTTAGGAAAAATAGAAATATATATAACCATTAACAAAATAGGATTCCAACTTTAGCGAAGAGATGAAGTGGTTTAGAGCTAGGCATGACCTAGTCTTTTTTATTATCAGATGTTTATAGGTTGAACCAGAGGTTACCCTGCCAGACACACAACATTGCAAACCAAAAGCTTACACATCAAAATACTAATTAATTTGAATATAAAAAAACAAAGTAATGTCAAACAACATAAGCTTCTGACCTTTTCAAAACTTATTCAGTTTTGTTTTGCTTGTAGCCGACAAAAGAAATTTATTATTATAAAAACAACAATAGCATTACTTAGCAGCGCTTCATAATTGTGATGAATAAGCCAAAATAGTCATCCACATCAACTTATTATGTGATGATTATGATCTATAAACAATTTATTGCCCCCTTGTCATTGTTTAATCATGCATGAAGGTGCATATCAACGATAAAGCACAAAGAAAAAAGAATTAGAGCATTACTATCTAAACAACGTATTCAGAATTTAAACACATTGTTATTCCTTCAAAGCTTAAGAAGAAAAAATGCACCAAATATGACAAAACAAGCACTTCATATCATAGCATGAACCTAATCAATCTCAACGCACAATAAAAGAGCCAAAAAAACCAATAAGAGCGGGGGATCATTAACCAAAAACCTCAAAACCATAGAAAGCCTAACTAATCAGCAGACCCAACACAGTCACACACAAATAGAACAAAAGAAAAACACTCACTTCAGGCAAAAAAAAGGTGCCTCACCTTTCGATCTCTTGGGACTGGGAACGTTGTCATTCCCATTTGCGGCATCAGACCTACCTCTCTTGCGAGCTGCATCGTCTGGGTACATGTCAGCAGAAAAATCAATCCTCCGTTTCCCTCCTTTTGCCGTAAATCCCGGATTTACTAAATCCTGCAGTTCGGCGGATTTACGGGATTTGGCCGAAGAAGCGCGCGAAAGGAGAAAGTTACCTTCAGGGGCTGTTTGGTATCGAATTTATCGTGGGATTTAAGTCGGATTTACGCTAAATCCAGCCAAACGGTTTTTGTGCGCGCGTTAAATCCCGGATTTAGGATTTACGGCTTAAATCCCGGATTTACTAAATCCCTCGGTTCGGTGGATTTAACGAGATTTAACATTAGAAGCGCGCGAAAGGGAGAAAGTTAACTTCACAGCCAGCGAGCTCCTGTTCTTGCTTCCGATCAAAATGTCCTAACTTCCGATCCGACAAGAAGGGAAAGTCGTCGAAGGAGCGAAGTCGAACAGCCACGAAGGAACCGAAGTAGCGACGCGCGCAATCCGTACACCTTCTGCGAATCAACGAAGCCGAACAGCAACGACGAAAAGAAAAGATGAAATACAAACCTAGACGCCTCAAACTTATTATCGATTAACTTAATTTATATAATTTAAACCTAGACGCCTCAAACTTATTATCGATTAACTTAATTTATATAATTTAAACCAATAATAATTAAGTTATTTAATTAAATAATTAATAGTATAATTAGTGCATAAATTAATTATCTAATTTAACTTAATTGATTAATTAATGATATAATTAGTAATTAAATATTAATATAATTAGCTTATTTAATATTTAAACTTTCATTTTGGTCCATGTTAGTTTGTAATTATCTTTGTATTGAATTTTCGATCACTTTATATGACCTAAAATTGGTTTTATTATGTTTTATGCAATAATCTTAATTTCATAAATATCTCCTTTAAAATTAAACGCCTCAAAGTTATTATGGATTAACTTAATTTATATAATTTAAACAAATAATAATTAAGTTAATTAATTAAATAATTAATAGTAGAATTAGTGCATAAATTAATTATCTAATTTAACTTAATTGATTAATTAATGATATAATTAGTAATTAAATATTAATATAATTAGCTTATTTAATATTTCAACTCTCATTTTGGTCCATGTTAGTTTGTAATTAATTTTATTATGTTTTATGCAATGATCTTAATTTCATAAATATCTCATTTAAACTTAAATCCCTAACCGCCATAAATCCTGATATATGTTACCAAAAGTTTTCTCCAGATTCTACAAGAATTTAACATTTAAACAGCAAAACAGTTTTAGCGATTCAACAACATTTCGGACTTTACTTAAATCGAATTATACAGGATTTATTAAATCGCAACTTGTTGCCAAAACAGCCCCGTTATGAGCGAGCGGCTCCCGTCCTATATAACTCGATCGAAGGAGCTAAGTCGAACACAAACGAAGGAGCCGAATAAGCCACTCGTTGCAAATATTACACCGGCGGAAGCTTAGGGACAAACAGCAACGACGGAAAAAAATTGAAAAAAAAGCCCTAGTGTCTTACGTTTAAGCTACATTAATATAATCTAAGAATATTCTATTAATGTAAATTTTAAATATAATTAATAATTATATTATAATTATTTATATAAATTATTTAGCTAATCTAACTTAGTCAAATAATCAGTAATTACAAACAATAAATATCCTAACTAATTTATAATTATATTAAATTATTAAATATATAAATAAATATATTAAATAATAACATAATATTCTTGTTGATTATTCACTTTGTACTTGCAAAACTGTCATCGATTTGAGTAGTGAATATTACCGTGCCTAATGTGAAAACTAAAGTACATTTCAATCATATTTCCAAAAAAAGTAAATTTAAATCATTTCAAAAATTAAATAACAATAATAAATTAATGAATTTTAGTTAGGATGCAACCTGATTAAAGTCGCCCCCTATAACTGACTACTACTTTCTACCAAATTTCATTTGATCGTTAACTCAAGACATCAGACTATTAAAAACTTACATCCAATACTTTAAGAAGAAAATTTAATAAAACTAAAATATAACATATTATAATTTATATCAAACACAATCCCCTGAAATCCTTATATAATACACTGACAAATTAGTTTCACGAAAGATTTAATAACATTTATCACTTAAGTTGTCGAATGTTTTATGGAAAGTTTAACAGGCTCCTAAAGAGACTGTTTGGCGTATCCTGATTCGTATGTTGGGATTTAAGTCGAGTTTACGCTAAATCCAGACCAAACGGTCTTTCTTGTGCACACGATTCAAATCCCAGGGATTTCATAAATCCCGAATTTAGGAATTTACGGCTTAAATCCCGGATTTACTAAAATCCCTCGGTTCGGTGGCATTTAATGGGATTTAAGCCGAATAAATGCGCAGCGAAAGGAAAGCACCTTCACAGCTAGCGACGTCCTGTTCCTGCTTCCGATCACAATGTACGTAACTTCATCGGAACAGGAGCGGAAAGTCGTAAGAAGGAGCGAACAGTTCGCATAGCCAGGATCGAAAGAAGCGACATCGTGCAATTATCACACCATCCTGAACAATGAAGTCCTGGACAGCAGCAAGGAATGAAACAGAGAGATGAGAAGCAAATCTAGGACGCCATATATGCTTAATTATTGAATTAACTTAATTTATATAATTTAACATTATTAATAAAATAGTAAACTACATTAAATAATTAATTGTGATAGTTAGTGCATAATAAATTATCTGATTTAACTTAATTGTGATAGAATAGTAATTTAGATATTATATAATTAGCTTCAATTACGCTAAGAATTATATATATGATATATATATACTTATTTTATATTACTATATATATATATATAATTATAATGTTATATATTAATAGTTAATGAAGTAATTTGAACATATATGTCGTATGAATCTCTAAACATTAAAATTATTTTAATTATACATTTATTTATAATTATTTTCTTCACATTTAAATCCCTAACTATCATAAATCTTGAAATATGAACCAAACAGTTTCTCAGAATTTAACAGGATTTAGCATTTGACATACCAAACAGTTTTCAGGATTTAACACATTTCAGATTTACTAAATCTAGATTTACAGGATTTACTAAATCCTACTAAAGTTAAATCCCACTTGTTGCCAAACAACCCCTAAGATTTACTAAATCCAGGATTTATAAGATTTACTAAATCCTAAGTGGCTAAATCTTACTAGATGCCAAACAGCCCTAAATTATGTATTAATTTAATTAGTTGAATTAATATAATGTAAATAATAAATAATTAATTAGGGTTTGCAAGGAACATAAAACAAATGAGAAATTATTTTGTGCGAACTCTGGACGTAGCTCTACATCCAGACTCTAATTAAATTAAGACACAGAGATTTCTTAAGACCCAATGATCCGACCCAACCTAACTGTAAAAGTTTGAAATCGCAGCAACCCGCTTAGTTTTTACGTTTTAAAACAAAAAAGACCCATGAAAGCTCTCAAATATTTAGGATTTTTGCGGAAAAAAATTGTTGGTGCATGTTGAGAAAAAAAACAAGAAATAATCGATGAAGTTGGAGATTGATTTGGAGGACTTCACATTCTCTGCAGAGCCATTGGATAAGAAGAAAAATAAGAATAATGTATATTTTACTTGCCTCATGATTTTTAATGTTTATTATGAGGAAACATATGTTTTGCTGAGCTTAGTTTGTCAACAAAGAAATTTGTCGTAAAGACAAATACAACATAATTGTGTTCACCTTCAATGCATATCAAGTCTCAAACAAGTTTAAATACTACAACGAGAAATTTATAAATTGGGTAGCAATGATTTATGTGTTTTTTTCTGATGTTTCACACACATTCACTTATAATGTATTCTTAAAAAATTTATATGCTGAATGCCACGAAAATGCATGCTTCTGTAAATTAATTATGTAATTTTTTATGTGAAATGATAATTTTTGGAAATTTATTTATTCGCTTAGATATAATTATTATACATTTTTTCTCTTTCATTTATGTGATATTTTATTCATTTTGATGATGTGTACTGTTGTGTACCACAATGTACCGCTATGCAATGTTGTGTGCCGCTTACGATGAGATTTAAAATTGTTTTACTATGTATTGTGTGATCCCATATTGTACTATTTGAGCAAAAATGGTAGAATTGAAAATTTATGGTTTTCTGAAAGCCTCGTATTTAATCTCTCTTATTAGACTTTGAAGAAGTACTTGATTATTGAGATATTTCTATAAGAGTGCTTGAGAGGTCTTTGAGTTTGAGAAAGGAGAAGCTGCGTGAGAGGGAAAAGTTGTGTGAGGGGATTCACGCGGTTGCCCCAAGCAAGTTTCTACCTTGATTCCTTCAAGTGTTTTTGTTGATCTTCTGGGTTGCTCCGAAAAGAAAGTTTTCAAGGTCGAAGATCGTCAGGTTCTCTGCCTCACCAGGAGGGTAAAAATGATTCCATGTTCTGTCTTACCAGAAGAGTGCTGAAAAATATTCCAAATTATCTACCTCACAATGAGTGAGAAATGATTCCAAGTTCTCAATCTCACTAGAAGGGTGGAAAGGATTCAGGTTCATAGCCGCAATGTTAAAGGGTGGAAGTGATTCTGTAAAGGCTTCTTCACCTTGTTGTGGGAGTTAAAGGAGTGTCACTAAAGATTTAGTGCAATACTCGAAGATGAGGACTCGAGAGAGTGAACGTAGGTCAAGATTTAACCAGACAACTATAAAATATTTGGTGTGCTTGTTCCTATTTATTTTATATTTTTATTTCTCACACTTTTATTTCTTGCATATTATTTTCCATATATCTTAGATGATGATATTGTGATAGCTTTGGATTATTTTTGTCAAAAAAAAAAATAAGAAGAAAGGAATAGTTTACCTTTCCTATCATGTCAATTTATTTTTGTTTCCCACTATTCTTCTTTGTCTTATTGTTATATTAGTGCAAAATTTATGTTTTTCGACTTTTAGAGCCTTTTTTTAGTAAGGTGTGAACATGCATCTTGACAGTGAACTCATATATAAGTTTTCAAAATGTTAATAAACTTATATATACATTTTTTAAATGTTGAGAGAAGGTAATGAAGAATAGTATACCCTTTTGAGTTTTGCAGCCTTGCAGGTTCGTATTCATTATGTTAGTTTTGGGACTCCTTCCAACGACCATTGGGTTATATTGGTATTAGAGTTTGGAACTTGTTTAAATGACATATTATTGTAAGCGCATGACTAGTGAAGATGATCACAGTCCTAAAGTCTTGTGGGCAATACATGCCGGGGTGGTTTGGCAACTTGATGAAATGGTGATTGGGTTTTTTTTTTAATAGAAATATGACGAGAGATACAATCCATCAAAAGTGATCAAACATTCACCAAACTACTCGGATAGTAATGTCGATAAGCATGCCTACTACTAGATGAGAGAGCAATGTTGTTCATGAAAGGAGGCGAGCACCTACAATTCCTGAATTAACTGATGCGAGTAATTTTATGTAATATATTCCCAATAAA